TATATATATATTAGAGCAAATGATTTGTGTCCAATGTTATCAAAAAGAGCTTCCATGTCCCCAGCTGATCCTGTCACCAACATTTTCAATTAATATAAGAAAAACATCATGCTCCCCTCACCATCCTGTCAGCCAATCCCAGAAGAATGAAATTAAAAGAAAATTGTTCACACTCTCTTCTAAAATAACATCACTCCTGCAATGAATATATTGATCCCTTCCATTAGCATCATTATCTTTATCATTTCAATTATATTTTCGTCTCAGACTACAAAGAAACAAAGATGCACAGCCAGGCACAGAATTTTTATCCTTTGTCAATCATAAATGGATTCAGTGAAAAAACAAAGTAGAACATGACTAAAATTAGGAGTATAACCAAAAATATAAGAAATTAGTCTTTGTACATTAAGGACTCTTAAACCAACTTATAAATTCTATCTACCAAGGGAACAATTTCATCATAGGGAATTCAATTATATAACATATAGTACAAAAAGTCTTCTCCAAAGAGTGGAACTGTTGCAATCTAATATAAAATTTATCCTGCCTCTTCTCCCACCAACAGAAATAATTTGTAGTATTCTGTTCGCACGAGGTACCCCCTCCCGATAAGAAACAAATTAATCTTTTTAGGTTGGAAGAGATGGAGAACAATATTGAACCTGGCTATGCTTGTTTCTGATAAGTCCATAAAACACTTCACCAAATACGTATACACTACTGTTGTCATCTCTCTACTTACTTGAAATTTAGGTTCTTGAATGAAAAATGAACTTCAACAATCCCTGTTGTTTTCACACGTGTTCTTAGAATATCTTGTTCCGTAGGTTGATAATCTTTGGCACCTAGCCGATCAAGATCATCCAGAAAACTAGAATACACAGGAAAGGTACATGCTAGGTCTGCCATCACTCAGTAGTCAGTATATTGATAGAATAGGAAATAGAAAGCTAAGAATTCACCATTATTATTCAGCTTGCCCATAAGTTTGCTTTCTATGCTCACTCACTCTTAACAATGGTGCTTCATGAGGATTCTGTTAACTTCTAGGATAATCAAAATTCAGTACTTCAGGGCAACAGGGCCTGTGATTTGAAATTTTACAGAGAATCCGATTTTTAAACCCATGTTTAAAAATTAAATGAAAATGAGTATTTGAATGCAAACATGTTAGATCACAGTGAAAGGAATTGGAACAAAATTATATTTGTATGTTAAAGTAGCATTACTAGTGCAACTGTCACCAATCATGTCACCAGAACATGCATCCACATCTATCTTAACATCCTGAAGAAAAAAATACTTCCAGGTTGGAGCCACATACACACAATAATTTTCACTTACAATTATAAAACTTTTTGCAAGCAAAAAAACAACAACAAAAAACAAAAACACACACAGATTCCTCATGAATCACCCTACACACATTTATTTCACCGTAATACTGTAGAAAATCTTACTAGTAGTACTACCCAATTTCCAAAGCATATTACATGGGCTGTCTTTAGCACGAAGCCTTCTTTAGAGAGCATACTGCTACAGAGATGAGAAAATCGTTACATTAACACAATTTTTAAAGTTTGTGATTTACTCACTATTTGGCAGAGTCGTTTAGCTGGTATTCATTGGATCTCCCAAAACACTCTTGTACACCTGTATCTGCCCATAAGCGTTTCATTGCTGCCAACAGTTCTTCAGAAAAGGGTTCTGTGTCTTCCATCCTTTGAATTACATCAAAAACCATTTTGGCGTCAGTCTGAAAAAATTCCAAATTATTAATGCATGTTTATTGAAATTTCCTAACTCAAGGTAGTTGCAAAAAAATAGTTCTCATCCCAACTGAGCGAAAAACTGACCATTGCACTTATTTTTAACTGGTAATTTTAAGCAAATTAAAATTTTACTTCAAATGAAAAATGAAGAATCAAATAACACATTAGAGTACACACATACTAAATCTTTATTAATATCCACAAGAATATTTTTATCACTTCCTTTCAAATGTTTTACACTCTTTACATTGTGTTTTGAAATAAAACTTTATTGATCCTTTCTGCATGTCATACTGTCAAAGCTTTAAAACATTACTTCAACTTCTTTTTCAATGTATCAAGAGCAATTTTTTTATCCTCTCTTTCTCAACATGTTCTTCAACCATTTTATATTCCATATTTCCCCCTCCCACCAATTTATAATGAAACCAAATCTGTAACTTTTCAACCATCTGTTAGCATTTAAGTCCTTTGAATCAATTCAATGTTAATTTATTATTATTATTATTATTATTATTATTATTATTATTATTATTATTATTATTATTATTATGCATGACCATAACAAACAAATTAAGGATCTGTCACTGTAATAGCAGAGACATTTTGTTTCTTAGTTCAAACATAATTCTTAGCTTTCTTCATTCTTCACTGGCAATAATGATTACATTACAACATGGGTACTTTTTTTATTCATGTAGAGCAAAGACAAGAACATTTTTGAATAAATTCAAATAGATTTTAAATTACCAGAAAATAATCTTTCATTGCATAAAGAAAAACGTATGCCTTTTTAATGTTGGTGGAAAGTAGATGTTTAAAAGATAGAACTTTCACATTTCAAACAATGATTTAAAATCAAGAGGTCAATCTTTATTACATTTAGCAAATGTTCAATGGCATTAATGACATAAGTATTATCATCTCACACTCCCACCTCAAATTTCCTTTTTCTTTTCTGTATTTATGTAATGAAATTGATTCCAGTTCATATTTTTAATAGAAATAAAATTAGGGAAAAAAGTTTCAATAGTTACACAAAAGCGAAGCGATACATGCCATTTACCTAAAATAAATGCATTCTTCAAATATTAGTTAAATTAACCTATCTTAAGTCTATGACTGAGCCCAAGAAACAATTTTAGTTCTTTCCGACTGCAAGTTACTTACTATTCTTTTTTAAATACAACAGTCCACTGCAAAGTTCCAAATCTCAAAATTCTTGTTTTTATTCCAGACAGAATGCAATTGCCTTTGGGATTAATTGCTGAAGGACAAGGAAAAGCTGTTCAGAAAACTCAGGGCTGGGAGAGACCAGGCATGAACTTTTGCAACTGCATGAAATTGTGCTCTGACAAGAGCAAAAAATTAGGATTTTCACTTTTGATAAAAAACAATGTATCTATAATGTACAATGTAATTTTCAAAGTCTGTTGAGCTTACACATTGAACTTTATCCCGCAATATAATTATAATAACACCCTTTCTATTTTTAAAAATCTCAGCAGTATAAAGATTCCACGATTGAATTTTGTTAATTTTTGAAAGTGTTTTTAAAATTTCTTTATGTACTTATAATAAATGTAAGAAAAAAATAACTGCATGTGACATAGAGGCAAATACTACAGAGACAATACATGACACTCAGCAATATAATGGGAGTCACTTGAAGCTAACGACCCTAATGGCCTGACCTGTCATACCAATTGTGATATCAAGTATGGAGTGTTTAAGTTTGAAAGATTTTTAGTTTATGATTATGTTTCCTTTGTTTTGCAGAGCGATTCCAAAGTTATTGCATATGTATTGAAATTTGAATTAGTTGTTGATTTCCCAGGTCACGTCACTAGGCTCCCTAGTGAGCAGTTGTTTCCCATTACAAGTATGAGAAAGTTTCAACGTGTCATGTATTTTCTACATTAGTATTTGATGAAGGGATTTGTGAGAAAAACACTTACTACTGGAATGAGTGATTTTTAACACCATAAAAAAATCTAAATTTACTAATTTACATTAACTTACATCTTGAATTTTCAGTTACTTCTGAACTGAATCATTAAAAAAGGATCATACAATTTCTGATAAAAGTAATGTACACATGCTTAACGTGCTCCTAGTTACTTTTGAGATTTGTTTTTTTTCTTACCCATATTGCCCACTAACTTAACCAAAATCATTAATTAAGAAATTTCAATAGTCTCAATCTCTGGTTGCAAATGGGATTGCTCCCAACCCAATGAAAAGAAACCAACATTTCTTAAACAATAACAAGGAATTAAAATATTACATACTTCTCTCTCATTGTTGCCAAAACCAATACCCAAATTTGGCATAGCTCGCAAAATAGCCACCAGTGATTGTATGGTGTTGCTGTAAACTACAGGTCGGTACTGCTTGAAATCTTCTGGTGTGAAACCGCTTTCGTGAATGATCCTGCAACCAAGCAAAAGCAGCATTTTACTCTAAGTTTCATGAATGCCAATCACTGCTATTGGATCTATTAAAAAACAAATTTTTATTATGTACATTTTCTATGAATTTTAAAGTTTGTTGTGTCCAACAACAACAACAACAACAACAACAACAACAACGATTTTAAGTAAGTTTTTTGGATCTTCAATTAGATTTGCAATCTCTGCCACTATATACACAGTTTCAGAATTTAATTACAGGTATTTAAATTTGCATCACATTGAAGAACAGTGTTTAGAAGAGAAAGAACTGAAAAGGAACAATCAAAAGTATAAAGAAACTAGGGAAACAAAATGATTTGATGTGTTAAGGATTAACAAGTTTTAACAAATTTAAACTAGAAGAGCTATAAAACTTATTTTCTCGCAATAGTGAAGGATATGTAATTTTATAAAATCAAAATTTCTATCCATACTAACACATCTTGATCATCACTTGTAAAACTTATTACCAATCATAGCTCATGTAGTGCAAAAATTAAGACATAGGAGTTAACCTCGTCGACAATTGAAAACTGGGTTCCATACAGCACGATCAATGGGAAGCCCAACAATGGAAAGTAATGCCCTTGAATTTCAAGAGGCTGTGTCACGGTGTTGCCATTGTTGTATTGTGACCTGTTGTCTCATACTGAAGACATACTCCAGCAAAACAAGTGCAGGAAATTCGAGTTTGGAATTTTGATGAAGAAGATTACACAAGACTACTCATAATTTTTTAAACAATTGTACATGACCATATTTAACGATATAATTTTGAAAGAAACTTTTCACTAAGTAAAAAGTCTTTTATCATCAATAGGGTATTACTACAATCTGTAAGACCTATTGGGATATTCAATCACGTCAACTGAAGTGATCTTATTTTTACTGTAATATTTATGTTTAGCGTAAGCTTGGTTTAGCTTTCAGACATGCATGCAAAGGTTATTAATTTCTAATTTAAGTATCTTGTTTCCAAATTAGACATTCTAAATCTTGTCAAGCATATATTCATTATACAAGATAAAACTATTGTTCACCATGGCTAGATGTTTCGGTAGGAGACAATGATTCTATATATTGTTTAGAATAATCTTACAACTGTTATAGGTTTCTCTTGTTGTATAAGATTTTCAATATTATTATTATACACATTGACTCCATATTTGTTCAATATGTGAAAGAAACCAATCATAAATAAAATATTTCATCATCAAAGTCTACTGTAGTAAAAGATACATGTTCTGAAAACTCCTGTACATATTACAAATAGTTGGAAGACCTTTTGGGGGTAACCCCAATTGCCTTAAAGTATACCAGAATAGGTCTCTCAATTACTAATAATTAATACAGGGTTTTCAGGATTTCATCTTTTATATCAACATTGTAGATTTGCAATGATACATTTTCGCAATTTTCGAAAATAAAGAGATGTTACCAAAAAAATGAGAGCAGTGCCACTTTTATAACCATATTTTCTCTATTGAGAAAAAATTTGAAGACTTTTTGAGATTTAAAAAAATTGCCATAACTTCAAACAGAAATTGCCTGAAAATACTAGTTTTTTTATGTACCTGATCTTATTTAAAGATTTACTTTTTTATAACGGATTTTAAGACAAATCTACCATTGTTTTACTTCACCAATTTTAATTGTATTCAATATAGAATTCGCTGATAATGGCACCAACAAATTTTTGCAGTTCATTTTTACTCACAAGGAAAAAATATCTATTTCTTCAATATTGTAGAGGTATGATGATGTCGAAAAAAATGTGAACTTTTGCCTTGCGTCTGGATGACAGGCTTAGGATACTTCGATAATGTCAATGAAAATGAGACCTAAGCCATTTTTAAGCGTCCTTTACGCTATCCGAGGACAAAAATCAATTAAAAAGTTGTAAATTTTAAAATTCATGCAAAGTATTCCATGAAATATACATATTCGTTTGAAATTCGGAAGGGCACGAATTCGTTCAGACCGATCATAAAATATGTAACGTGTATCGTTTGAACGATTGACGGATTATCAGACATGTTTTGCCGTCAATCGATTTTTCGGTATCAAGGACCCCATAAAATATGGATTTCACTTCCCATAAAATGTGGATTTCACTTGTACAACGCACAAGATGAAGTAATTCAATACATATGGGAATAAGATTTATTCAGTTTGGGGTTATCAGTGCATAAACAAAGGTTTTTCTATCGCAAAATCGCCGATTTTCGCCTCATGATTACGATACCTTCTCTTTTCTACATGCGTAGTAAGGCAAGAAAGTAAAAATATGTCATCAATTTTGCAGTTGTAGGAAGACGCAAAAATACTTGTGCAAGGTTCGAAACTTTAGGGAATTTCACGAAAAAGAGACGCGTTCTTTCTTTTCTTTCTTTTTTTTTTGTTCTACCCGAAAAAGAAAAAAAAAAAATTAAACAAAGAATTGAAACAGTGTTGAGTACCTGTAAAGTACCCTTCACAATCGATATATATGTTTCAAATCAAGGGGCCGCGATATCAGCCTGTTCAATTGGAAATTATCAATTTTAGTGAAAATCCTCTCTACGGTTTAGCCGCTAGCATTGTTCACGGACGGACGGACGGACGGACGGACGGACGGACGGACGGACGGACGGACGGACGGACGGACGGACTTTTGTCATAATCTAATATTTCGGCACCATGGCCCAACAAAAGGAGGTCTCTATTTAAACATGTTAGAGTTAATTTAGTACAAATGAGAGCAAAATGAGTTTATCTGTCGAAAAATCGCCATTTTTGTCTGCAATATTACAAAAAGATGAGAATATAGTAAACGAAAATTTAAATTTAATGTTTATATTTTTCTCCGATTTTCCTCGATAAGGATAAGACTGTGGCCCCCGTCACCTGAAACATTTCATCCTACTATCTTCCTCTTATCGTCTATCCTATCCTATCACGCAATTCATCCTATTGGATGAACAAAGATTTCTTCCTGCTAAGACACTTCCGATACTGGACTACAGTTGTTGTTTTTTTAAAATTATTTTTCATCTTCTATAACTCCATACGGTTATGTTTAATATATGTCGAAGGGCTAAGTATACTTTTCAGTATTGCTAAAGTAAAAATCTACTTTTTTCCGAATACTCACCACGAGAAACGCAAATTTGTGAAATTAAGAAACTCTTGACGCTTACGGTATTACGAAAGCACTAGCGAGCGCGGCCCTGAGATTGTGCCCGACCTCTCCAGCCGGTTGTCAAAACTGCGATGAAGTCGCTGTTATAAAATTATCCCCCAAGTCTACGATAGCGCTTCCGAAGTTCAGAATACATTATTGAAAAATAAATATAAAAACACTTTCTATGAGAGTCTACACTGCTGATAGCAAAAGGATAGGGAAGTATTATTCACCATGTCTTTTTTTAATAATTTTTACATAATTTTTACACATTTTTTTAATGATTATTTACATTTATATCCATTTTCTATATAATTCTATCAGATAAATTGTAAGTAATTATCATTTTATTTCACTCCAATGGAGGCAAACATATTACTCCGGGTCTGTGTAGCTATAGGACGTAAGATCCTACGTCCGACATCTTTCGACATCTTTCCCATCTACTCTCCCAATATTCTTCGGACAATACTCCAGATGTACACATCACGGTTCAAGTCTAAGATGTCAATACTGCTGTTCAGTGTGTTGGGGATTTCACCTGTAGCGCCAATAACAACTCTGCCATACCCCACATACAGTAGATTTCATCTGCCAATGGCAGGTATATGTATTTTTTTTGTTTTGTTTTTGTTTTTGTTTTTTTTGAGAGAGAGAGTTTTCAGATTGGCTGGTAGAAGAACTGCTATATCGATGATGTAAGTTTTTCTTTCAGTCTTCAAAATCAGTATATCCGAAACGTTGTACGGGATTAGTTTATCGGTTAGTATTGGGCGGCTCCAGTAAAGTTTGAAGTTCTCGTCTTCTCTTATTGATGGTGATTCATATGGCGCCTGCTTCTCATCGCCAAAATACTTTTGCCTGAGAGCCTGGTGTATTATTTTGGCCACACGATTATGCTTGTCAAGATATTGTTTTGGCACTAAAACTGAATATTCAGATTAATTATTGTTGTTATTGCTATTATTAATTTTAATATTTTAATTATATTTTTATCATAATTATCATTACAATACTAATGTACTAGTGTGAATATTCTGGACTCTTAGAACTGTTGAATTCGTGAAAATAGCTTAGTATTGGAAATCCAGCTCTGGACATTCAGATTCTGAACTGTACATTAGATCGCAATAAGCCCTGTACTGTGAGTGAAAGAACATTCGAATATCAAGTGTTTATTAGAAAATACGGGCTTGGACCCCATGGAGGGCTCAAAAGAAAAAAATGGTTTTAACAAAACAATTTCTGCAGCACTCCACACGATATGATGAACAATTTAATTTTGGAGCACCTTTTCTCCATATGATAAGTTCCAAAGCAAATCACATACAATGTATGTACATTTTGTGCAATATATTTCTAATATTTCTTTGCAATTTTTTCCCTTTTTAGTTTTTCAGGATTTCTAATTACATTATTTTTGAACTGTACCGAATATTTACATCTTTGGGGCAGCTTTGGTCATTTATCTAGTCCCAAGAGCAATATTGTGTAATGATAAAATAGTTTAAAACATCGTTACAATATAAATTAGCTAAAAGGTACGGTGCTTTGGTCCGTCCATCTCAAAAAATGTGTTTTGCATTTATTCAATTATTTTAATATTTTCTTCGGAGAATTCGAGTGAGCAAAAATTGTATTTCTCTTCTACTTATTGATAAAAGTTACGAGAAAATGGAAAATTTTACTGCATAGTGTAATTGTTAACGTATACACGGAAATATAACTATTTTACTTCACATGTTTAAAACTACTACTTTTTTAAACTAGTGGTTATTTGCCTAGAGGTCCAACAGCACACACATTCTTGTATTATT